ATAATTAATGATTCATAAATAAAAACCTAAAAAAGTGTAGGTTGAATAAATTAAAGATTTATGCTTATCGTAATAGCCAAATTATTTTTTTTTCTTATTATTATTTATTATTCAGTTTTGTATTAATACGTATTATACGTACTATACGCACTATACGTAAAGTATCGTATAGTGTCGTATAGTGTTCAACTATACGCCATTTGCCCATCTCTAGTAAGGAACAATAGTAATTGTTATCCAGTTTATTACCAGAATGTTTTCCATGTAACACTTCAAATTTCCACTACGCTAACCTCTTTTAATAATAAATAAATTTCCTAATATGTATAATTAAAATTAATTAGCACGCGAAATAAATGAATATTTTGATCATTTGATCATATTATACATCATACCAAGTAAATATTCTAACAACACGTTGATTATGGATTCATAATTTCCAATATTCTTGTCATTGGCGTTTTCAATAACCATAAATGAAGGAATCAAAGGCTTTGATTAAATGGAAAAAAATTTTGTTTTTATATTTCGTAATATAAAAATTTTTTTTAATATACTTAAACAAATTTAGAATGATTTGGATTAGCATTCAAAAAATAGATCCTTTAAAAAAAAACGATGAATGACAAAAATGAAAAAGAATGAGAGTAAATGCTGATTAGATTTTCGTTATTTTAATAATTCGGATGTTTCTTAATTTACAAAGGATTTTATATTATTGCCGTCGTAAATTAAAAAAATTTGCAAATCGTATATATTAGATAAAAAATTTTAAATGAAATCATGTTACACCAAAAAAATTTCATTGATGGGTTAGCAACAAAATGTTTTGAATATGAAGAAAAAGATATTTAAAAATAATATTTGAAGTGATAAAAATAGAAATCATTCCAATAGTGTAAATAAGATTATTATTATGACTGTATTAATCTTAATCTCTTATGAGAAAACGGATATCTATCTATGTATTTGTTTTTATTTACGTTTCTTTGATCCTTGTTTTTTTTTTTAAAATGAAAATAAAAAAATGATTTATTGAATAACATGTTTATAAAAACAAAATATAACTCCAGAAATAATTTTATTTAGATACTAAGAATGAATTTTAATTGTAGCTCCCTAAGTAAAGGCTTTGAAGATTTTGTTGGAGAATATGAAGATTCAATTCTGTCAAGTCTTAATGAATCCGGTGCAAATAATTTAATGATGATAACGAAGAAGGTCTAAATATTTCATCAATGTTTAATTCAGAATTAATTGTAATAATAACGTGGATGTTTATTATGTATGGTCAATCTTAGCCCCTGTAAAAACCCTCGATCTGTGATTTATATTTCATGTTTTCTCCAGAAATGCATCATATTCGTAGAAGAATCATAGTAAGATTACAGAGGAAAATGCGAATTTTGCCACTGCTGCAAATTCGCAGAAATTTTCACGAAATTAAAATTCAGATAACAGATTATATTTTTTATGTTAAGGAGAGTGATAATGTGATAAGATGATTTAGTTAATGATATTTTTGGTTTTATATTTACTTTCATTATTTCCAAGCGAAAAAATCGAATTTGGAATAAATTATGATGATGTCGACTATATGGTTATGTTTAACTATTAAAATTGCAATTACTATTGTAATTGTAGTACGAAAATACAATTGGCAATTGTCATACACTAAATAAATAAATTACCTCGTAATGCATTTTGCATTTGAACAAACCTGATTGTCGAACAAAAGGATCTATTATTAACTATTCGAAGAATAATAAATATGCTGTATAATTAATATTTAATTTGTAATTATACGCGAATATATTAAATACCTTGATACCGATGAAGAAGTTATTATTGTTGATCCATAATTACTAATATTGTTGATGCAAGTTTTATTGGCGTCTATTTCAATAACATTTTTAGAAATCATAATAATCATAAGCGAAGAATCAGAAGACTTATTAAACAGCAAAAATTTTTTTTTATATTAAAAAATTTTTTTTTGATATATTCTTTAATAAGTTTTAATGGTTTATTTTCCGTTTCTATAATTTGACTTATGATTTGTGGCGGTGTTTGCGTATTCGCGATTAAATCCTGGTGATTTCCATACTTGAATATGTTTACCATGTGTTATTGCAAAATATCTAATTATAGATTTGTTGATTGTATTATGCCTTTATTCTAGTTATAAGTACATTTTATTTTTAAGTTTAAAATAAAATAATATCAACTTTATAAATCTGGTTTGATTGGAATTGAATCCAGTTTTTTGATGATTTGGTTTGATCCAAAACAA